GGGACGTGGACAAGGATCACTTGTCCCCACATCACACAGGAGCCTGGGGTCAAAAGCCACTCAAACAGGTCAGCAGCCCTCCGACCTGAGCCCACAGCACCTGCCTTCCCTCCACCTGCCCAGTGCCCTTCCCTAAGGCCCTGGGTTGTTTATTTCTTTCCTAACTATAAAATAATTTGAGCTCAATACCAAAAATGCCTTCTAAAAAATGGAAGGAAAATAAATATCACTCATCTAATCTCCCAGAGATAATAACTGGTGTATAATCTTCTTTCAGATATGAAAAAGGACATTTTATATGTATGTATGCGCATGCGTGCACACACACTCTTCTGCAATCTTTTTTTCTCTTTCCCTTTCAACATCCTTCTAGATTAATAACCAGCCATGTCCTCATTTTCAGGCCTCGATTCTGTCAGGAGTTACATGCATCCAGTTAGTCATTCTTCTGATAGACACTGAGATGTGTAATTCTTCCACCTTAAACAATACCGCCATTAACCTTACTGAGACTTTATCCTTGTCCGGTTGTGCCCTTAGCCTAAACCCCTACAAGTGCAAGGGCTAGATCAGAGGCCACTGTCCCGATATTTCGGGAGGAGGACGGGGAAGGGGTGACCATGGAAACACAGAGCCCTAAGTCCTACCCCTCTGATGACCAAACTCCAACAACCTCGCGTGTGCTCCCTCTGTAACTAGCCAGTCACCACAGGGTGCTATGAACCATGCCTGCCTCCAAGCCACCGGCCTGGCGGGAACGCCAGCTCTCTTCCTCCTGTGCCTGTCGGCGACTCTGCACCCGGTCTCGCCCCCTTTCCAGGGGGGGCCTTCAGGCCTTGGCATGGATGCCTCATCTCCAGCACAGCCTCCCAAAGGGCCCTGCCATTCCATCTCCCAGCACGTACTCAGAGCCCGGTGGAGGGGTGGGTTGGAGCACTGGGCTGCTCAATGCAAGGTGGGTGGCTTCCCCCCATCAGCCACACTATGGGAGAAAGATGAGGGGTCTCTGACACCCTCAAGATTTGGAAACCCTACCCAGAGTCACTATGAGTCGCTGGCAGCGGGCTTCAATTTTTCAGTTTTTCACAACTGCACACCCGCCTCCGGGACACTGCTCTGCCCTGGAGGCCGGGGTACGTCAGAGGCCTTGTTGACCACTGAGGTCCTTAGCCTCATCCTCACACTTGGCCCTCAGGGCTCCTTCCTGCAGGATCACAGTCAGGCCAATGTTTACCAGAGCTCACCAGCAAACAGGCCAGGGAGGCCTCCCTCAACCGGCTGGGTAGCCTGTCCCCAGGCCCTGAATTTGGCACCAAGGTCAAGGAAATGTTCTTCCTCCCAGCTCCTCAACCACGTGTACACACACACACACACACACACACACACAGCTTGCAAAGAGAACGTGCCAGGCCATGACTACATTAGCCTTTCAGGAATCTTACTCCTCTCCTACCTTGTGCTAACAATTTACTAAAGACAGGCCAGGCTGCTTCCAATTCAGTCCGCAAGTTTCTAAGCTCAAAACACGTCTTGTTTTTCCTTACGAACTGTTCTGTGGTTTCTGGAGCCTGCGGAGAGGCAGATTCCAGAGGCAAGCCTGACGCAAGTCTGAGGAAGACAGATGTCCAGAATCGAATCATCGTTCAAACCGCCCTGCACGCACATCTGCCCAGAAACCATCCCCACCCAGGCGGGGAGGGAGGAAGCAGGAGTATTTGCTCCGAGAACGGCCTTTGCCTCGGTGGGAAAGAGCAGCCTGGAAGAGTCGGCTTTTGTTCACTCGGGTGGGCTGTGCGTGGGTGACCAGGCCTTGCTGGGCCCACGTCTCCTCCTCTCCCTCCCCCCCTTTGATCATCCCACTGCCCCAGAAGGGAGCTGGCAAGGGAAATCGCAGGGACAATGGTTAGAAATAAATCCAGTGGACAACATGTCGTGAAATATTGCAAATCCTAATGACAGTGAGATTTCTAAATCCCCGGGGCCCGCATCTGTTTCAGCAGACATCTGGCGCACACACACACACAAGATAGTTCTTTCGAATACTCATCTTAAAATTACATCAGCCTCTCTACTTTTATTACCTCACCCGGCATGGCTTGTTACCCTTTCAGAGGGCCAGTGTCTCTCTCCGACGGAAGGTGTGTCACCAACGAAAATGTAAACTCCCCGAGGGCAAGACTCTTGCTTGTCTTGTTCCCCGTGAATCCCCAGTGGCCGACAGAGGGCCCAGGACAAAAAGGGAGCCAGAAGGCAACTGACAAACCACAGCCCCCTGACAAGACACACACCCCACCCCCAGGTGTGGCACGTGTCCAGAGACCTGTGCCACCCTCTGCCTCACATAGGGATTGAGCGCTTGACACATGGCCAGTCCAAATGGAGATGCGCTCCAAATGTGAAACACCCCCAATTTCAAAGGCTTAGTACCGAAACCACAAAGAAGCAAAATATCTCACTGGTACATTTTTAAAAAATAAATTCCATGTTAAAATGATCCTATCTTAGATATTCTGGGCTAAGTAAAACATACTCTCAAAATAAATCTCTTTACTTCTTCTCTTTTGGTGCAGCGACCAAAAGAGGACATAGGTAATTCCTGCTGTAGCTGGAGTCGGATTGGGCAGCTGTGTTCCGCAGCCCGGGTTGTAAGACCACGGAGAAAAGCCAGCAGCTACACAGCCCGGCCTCACCAGCTCACCCAATGCTCTTCAGAGCAAGGCAGGAAACACCTGTCCTGCTGGCTTCCTATGACGCACAAATATTTAAATGTATTCGGAAATGGGATTCGGAAATTGGAGCTAAAAAGAGTTTATGAGATAAACCAACTGCACCCTCAGAATGCAAGGTGCAGTCATTCATGACCCGAAACAGTGCCCCACAAATAGTAGGCATGTACAATCTTTGCTGGATGAATAAATTAATCCTTTGCAAAGGGAAAAGGGGGGAAAAAAAGATTTCCAACTTGTCTATTCACTTGAGCCGACCCTGGTTCACACAGATGGTTAGGCTCTGGCTGCTGACTGGCAGGCTGGAAGCAAAGCTTGAGCCAACCCCCAGATGCCTTGACAGGCACATCTGGGGGTCAGCTTCTGGAAAACTCGTCGTGGAAACCCCTGTGGAGCACAATTCCACGCCAACACACATAGGTTTTGCCTTACTTCAGAAAGGGCCTGGTGGTAACCGGCGTGTGTGTTTTGGCTTGCCTCTTTATTTGGGATGGCCAACGATAAAAGCGGAGGGGATACTCTAGACAATACACGGGCCTAGAGCAGGGGTTGGCACACATTCCAGATGGAAGAGCCAATCCGGTCCCTCAGAGCAATTTAAAAATGATTCGAGAACCATGAACGTAATTTTACAAACACCTGAAATCACCACAATCTGAATGATACCCGTTTTTCCATTTTGCATCAGAGCCGCACGTGATACCGAGTGCCATTTCGCAGACTCCTGGGCCTGAACTGTGAGACACAGGAAGAGGCAGCCTCTGCCTTCCTACCTGTCTGGGTTAACACCATCCAGAACTTTCTACAATGATGGAAGCGTTCCCGCTGGCTCTGTCTAATACACTGGCTCCTGAGCTTCTGTACTGTGGCGATTGTGACTGAGGAATTGAACTTTAAATCACGGGTTAAAAGATGTGGAATGTGGCCACCCCTTGGCTAGCTCCCGCTGTACCCAGACTGCTAGGACAGGGTGGATAAGGGAAAGCTTGGGATAATGCTCTGTCAACGCTCAAGCTCCAGGAGAAACAGCGCGGGTTTTGTTGTTGCTATTCATTTTAACGTCTTAGAAATCAGAGATTCCAAGAAATTGTAGTTGCTCAACAGCACAGAGTCTCCATTGATCTCAAACAAAAAATGAAAACAAACACAATGCCTTTCCTTCACGTGGGGGAGAAGGGCAGCCAGTTTCAAGGATCAACCCTTCACAGAACTGGGAACAAGCAGCGTTTCCGTCAGATTGCACCCACATGTGGTGCGGCCAGGGCCCGCACACGCTTCCTGCCTTCCTGTTGACCTTTCCCGTCATTTTGCCCGTTACAGAAACCAGCCCTTCCAACGGCACTGGCATGCCTACCTACCTCACTCTCTGGCAATCATTCCCCGGCTCTCAGATACACGGTACAATCTGTGAGAGCCAGAAGCTGATACAAGTGGAAAACTCAGATGTCTCCCCTTAATAGGAAATGATAGCCAACCAAGTAGCAGGATTGCCCCCTGTCAAAGGCAGAAAGCTTGGTGAGAGCCGGGAAAACAAGACTGCCTGGTCTAGTTCCAGCTCTCATGGCTCGGCATCGAGAGGTGGTTCAAATTCGCTGATGAATGGGAAAACCAATCATTACTAAACAGGGCTGAGGACTAACTGGCAGCTGTGAAGAATGCGAATCTATTGACACCCAGGTTGGGAAAACCACCCATAAAATTAAAATCAAGCTTGCCTCCCAAGATTTTTCCCAGCAGGAAGGCCTGCTCCATCTCAACAGCTTTTCCTCATCATTAAGATAATTGTATTTTACACACAAGTAAGCAATAAAGAAACTGAGGAGGGGCAGGAAAGTCAGCGAAATGGGGTGAAGTGTGGAAACCCCATGAAGTTCCCAATACCAATGGAAGGCATCCTCCCAGCATCATTCAGAGATTTTGTGAGCTCATTCATGACAAGGAATTCAGCTATGTCATTTCCCCCTTGCAGTTTTTCCACAGACTCATTCAATTTGGGTCTGAGGCCCGCATCATGTACTACACAGCCCCTGCTTGCCCCACCACCCCCCCATGGAGCTTCCAGAATGAAAAACAACATGTGAAATTGGATCCGCGGGCCTTAGGCCCACAAGCTGGGGCTCAGTGGTGTATTTTATCCTGTCAGGCATGCGGGCGGTTGCTCAACCTCTCCCAAGGACGCCTCCAGCCGTACCCTCCAACTCAAAATCCAAGTGAACTGGCCAGGGATCAGTGTGAATGGCACCTGGTCCGGGAGAGAAGGTCTGTGCTCTGTACCTCAAGTTCAGTCTCCCGTCTGTTGATAGCATCCGTGGATTGATTTAACTTCTCCAGTTCTCCCTGGCGAAGAAAAATGAGAGAGGGTTACATTTTTAAAAATAGGTGTGTGTGTGTGTGTGTGTGTGTGTGTGTGTGTTGCAGGGGGGTGGGAGGCGGGGAGCAGTAAAAAGAAAAAAAAATTTTTTTAATATATACTTGAGAGGATGCAGCTTGTTTCCAGTGTAACTGCCCATCACCGGCATCAGGGGCTCACGTAACCCAATTTAGAGGAAGAGGGGAGGAAGGGCTGGTTTCATTGTCAAGAAAACACAGGAGCTTGGGCTGGAGGGATAAAGGAATGTCAGGATTTCTGAAATTTTTATCTTGACCAGTATCTCTTTTAAAAAATGTCTTACAGGCCTAGCCATTATTTGTCTTTTCTGATAAGGTCAAGGATTTAATGCAGGTATGCACCTCCTGGTAAACCGACCTATTAAAAAGGATTGGGCTCCTGAATGAGCCCTTAACCTCTGCCTCAGAGAAGGGAATTTTGCAGGGGAGAAGGGGGGGTTAAAAAGAAAAGAACAAAAGCAAATAAATGCTCCTCTGCCAAAATATACACCCAGTAAAAATTATTTAAATCAATGGTAAATTTCCATCATAAACTTATTGGTGTCTAAGTGTTTTTTTTCTCTAAAGAGATACCTTTTTCCCCCCCAAAACTGCCACAATTATTCAACCTACCTAGTCCCTCCCCCACAAAACTACCATTGCTCCCAATGCTTTACCAAACATTTTACAACACAACATTTGTAAAACTGCACCCATTTTGAGGTGAACGCAGCTTTACTCTGCAACAAAGGATCTTGCTAACTAAATTCCCTAGCAAGAATACCAGATCGAGTCCAAACAGACGACTTTCATTAATGGGATTGTTTCTACTGCATCGATTTTTTTCCCCCACCTGATCTTTTTCTCGCTAATCTGTCCAAACAATTCATTTAAACCTCAACCACTGAGTTAAATGAGGTTTTAATGATGTGTGCATTGAAAAGCCAATGACGGCTCCGGTCAAGGCAGAGCAGGCTAAAGCAATATATTTAAGAAAACAAAGATTTATGGGAAGGGTACACAAACGGGTCCTGGAAAAGAGATTTGCTGTGTTTTTGCCTAGGGGGTGAAGAGGTTAAGCTGTCATTCATAGAGCTCGGCTGGAAAATTATTTTTCAATCATCCCGTTAGGAAATGGAGGCACGGAAGGAAGGCCAGGCCAATCCCCTCGCCGCCTCCACGCATCAACTCTGCGCATCAGTTAACTGTCCCCCATTTCTGTTCAGGCCAGACCCTACAACAAGGGAACGCGGGGTTTTAACCCATTTCAGGCCAAGAGGAGGTTTGAGCAGTGGGTGACAATGGCAACCCCACCCCCATCCCAACCCCAGTGTGCTAACAATGCTTCAGGAGAGGAAAGGGCGGCTCGGGCTAGGCACCTTGGCCAGGTGGGGACCGAGGGCGAAGATGCCAGCCCACGCTGCAGGGGCGGCAACGTCCACCGTGCCCGGTGCCCACGCGGGCCAGCAACCCTCCTCCCAGAATCGGGAGTCGGCAATGAACGCGGTGCCGCCAGCCTGGCCGAGGACACCCCGATACAAGCATGGCGCCCCCGCCCCCTATGTCCCTTTGTTGTGCATCCGCTCGAACCCCCAAATCTCCGGGGCCTGCGTGGCGGGAGCGGGATGGGGGTGTCCTCGCAATATCGTCAGGCCGCATCCAAAAGGCACTGCAGCCCCCCAATGGCAGGGGCGAAACCGGGCATTCACACCCTCCCGGGTCACCCCGGACCTACGCGGTCGCCACCCCCAGACCTGCAGCGTTAGGTCTAGACGCGGGCTCGATGCGGTGTCGACGCGGCAGCCCGCGCGTGAACCCGGGCCGGGGCGCCTCCCGCGCGCCCTACCTGGATCCGAGGGTCCACCTCTTCCTCCTCCTCCTCTTCCTCCTCCTCCAGCCCCTGCTCCATCCCTTCGT